TGTCCTCTGATATCGCATGGAAGTCTCCAAAGATATGCCTATTCTAAACAAGGAACTTAGGTTACTAGATTAAAAAGTGCAAAATAAAGCTATCTCGAAGCAGTTAGTGTCTGTTTCATGCACATCATTTTGCGAGTATCAGTAAATGTCGCAGAAAAGCCTTTACCCGCGTAGACCACCGTTTTCTAATGAAGCGGAGCGGGAGAGCTAATAATGACGGAAGTCGTCTTTCGAAGAGATGCAAGCGTTCATCAGCTTTGATCCCGTCATGATGGCCCGTCAAAACAGTCATAAACGGCTCATGGCTTACAACACTCTGTAGATGGCATGATGGGGGCCCCAAACGCCGAGCCGGGACGCGTCATGATGAACTCTGAGCCCAGTCTCGCTTCAGCATACAAACGGTCCCGCAGGGGAGGGTGACGCGGTTAACGGGTCCCGGACCAGCGGGGTCCCGCGCACGTGAGAGGGCAGGTACCAGCCGCAGTCCAAACACGTAGCCATCCCCCGTGCTGGCGAACAGGCTTGGGCCACTGAGGCTGCGCTGACGCTTAGGAACTTTCCACAACTCTACGAAAATTACATTCAGCTTGAGCATATACTGAGTAAATACTTTTTTTCAGCGCAACTCTGGCCTTCCGTCCAATTAGCACAGTGGCTGGTTATGGGTATTGACGCGCCTCACCTAGTGATGGTTGCTGCGTGCTTCATCTGGTGTTGATTGCTGCGGGTCTCGCCCGGTGATGGTTGTTGCGTGCCTAACCTAGTGTTGGTTGCCGCGTGCCTCACCTGGTGATGCCTCACCTGGTGATGTCTCATCTGGTGATGATTGCTGCTTGCCTAACCTGGTGCTGGTTGCTGCGTGCCTCACCTGGTGATGGTCGTTACATGCTATACCTGGTGATGGTTGCTGCGTGCCTCACCTAGTGATGGTTGTTACATGCCTTACTTGGTGATAGTTGCTGCACACCTCACCCGGTGATGCTGATGCATGCCTCACCTGGTGATGGTTGCTTGCATGCCTCACCTGGTTGATAGTTGCTGCACTCCTCACCTGGTGATAAGTGCTGCACACCTCACCCGGTGATGGCTGATGCATGCCTCCCTGGTGATGGTTGCTGCATGCTCACCTGGTGATGGTTGCTGCGTGCCATCCCTGGTGATGGTTGTTGCATACCTTACCTGGTGATAGTTGCTGCACACCTCACCTGGTGATGGTTGCTGCGTGCCTCACCTGGTGATGGTTGTTACATACCTTACCTGGTGATAGTTGCTGCACACCTCGCCTGGTGATGGCTGATGCATGCCTCACCTGGTGATAGTTGCTGCACACCTCACCTGGTGATAGTTGCTGCACACCTCACCTGGTGATGACTGATGCATGCCTCACCTGGTGATGATTACTGCATGCCTCACCTGGTGATGATTGCTGTGCAGCTTGCACACCAGCACGCCCATCTGCCGGAGCGTGCTGATGTCCTGGTCGATTCTTTCCACCTCCTTCATGAGCACGCTCGGTTCCTCGGAGTGATCTGTATCGATCACCCAGTCAAGCAGCCGGGTCAGCACGTGATCTGCCCCAGTGCTCCGTGGCCGTGACACAGCATGGTGAGGTGCCACTTTCCGGCGTTCATGGCACCGTCCTTTGGTACCAGCAGACCATGTCTACAGCAGGCCTGTGTACTGAACGTCAGCAAAAGCGTATTGTCGGAAACATTCACGTGGCGCGACCTGTCATTCACGGCATCAGAAAGGCAACACATCACCTAGCTGTGAACATACGTGTCCAAAAACATACACACATCACGCTACACGGACATTTGCATGAGAGGCATGGGCTTCTTCGGCACGTTCTCGTTCATGTATTCCGACGAATCACGAGCTAAGGGAGTCAAGACATTGTCCGGAGACGGTGCTGAGCATGCGAACATCCGTTTGCCGGCTCGCGTTCCGGTAGCGACTGGTCTATACCGCTGGGGATCCAGTTTGTTGTGTGAATGAGAAGCTGACTTTATGGTAGCGACTGGTCTGTAATGGTGTGGATTCAGTTTGTTGTGCGAATGAGAAGCTGACTTTATGGTAGCGACTGGTCTGTAATGGTGTGGATTCAGTTTGTTGTGCGAATGAGAAGCTGACTTCATGGTAGCGACTGGTCTGTACTGGTGTGCATTCAGTTTGTTGTACGAATGAGAAGCTGACCCCATGGTGATGCTGAGCGGCCATGACAACGGTCACCCAGTGGCAGTGACTTTGAACGACTTAGATGTAGACGTCGCTCTCTGTGTTTGATAATGATCCTGCGGTTCTGCAGGAGAGTGTTGTTCCGAAAACACTGACCTCTTGCTATGATGACATCTGAAAGCGGTATCTTCATCAGGAATTTGTACTTGTTCGGTTCCAGCCCATTCGTTGAATTGTTGTGCAGTGGCCTGCAATATCGTTTGCATTTTTAAAACAAATTAACATCTTGTCGAGCCTTGCTTACAGAGCCCGGCTGTAGAAAATGGTGCAATGGTCACAATGGAAAAGTGTCACACTGCAAGTCAAGAGCTGCAACAGAATTAAGGCGATGCTTCCGGGCCTTTAAGAAAGGATGCCCGACACCCAGTCAGCGGCTGTGGACAGCGATGACGTCTGATGGCAGAGCAGAACCATGGGCTCTCAGCGACACTCACGGGGTTTGTTTGCGTGTAGTGCTGCCCGGCCTCCTCTTGATGCCAGCGATGACGAGCAGGTCACTGAACAGCAGCAGGCAGCGCTCCCTCTTGGTGCCAGCCGACGTTGTCATGGTGACCACGTCGTGTCGCAAGAACTCCCTTTTAAGTGGAAAGGCAGGATTGACAAAAGTCTCCAGAGGACAGCTCGCACATAGTTGGTTTTGTATATATTTTAATGGATTTTGTCACACTGATTCACTGTATACAAGACGTGTGGCCAGGGTTACGTATAGCTGGTAGACTTATGAGCAGACGCAGGCCCTTATCATATACGATTGAGTATACTCGTAAAACTTCGTGTTCTTAAGCAGAGCAGTAAGGAGTTTTTAAGATGGCATACGTCAGCACCTGCAGGGCCCCCTGCTGCCCTCCTGCAACGCCTCCTGCCCGCCTGCAACGCATCCAAACTCCTAGCTGTTATCTGTCCCCTCCGCTTCCCAGTAGTCACCAATATGTCCCAACCTCCCGGCACCAGTACACCAAACCTCCCGGCACCCCACGTCGCACGTGTCACCTGTCGTGCGTGACCAGCCCGTCCAGGCCGTCGACGGCGGCCTCCATGTGGCGCAGCATCTGCTGCCGAGCCTCGGCGCGCAGCGTGGCACGCTGCAGGCCGTTGATGCGCGCCGCCAGCTGGTGGATCTCGCTGCAGGCCTCGCGCAGCGGCCGCAGGTCCGGGTGCTCCGTCGGCGTGTGCGCCACCAGTTGCTGCCCACACGAGGGGTCGCGCGCCAGTGAGGTGAGGTGGCAGTGAGAGGAGTGGAAGCGGCGCCGCTGCCAGACACGCTCGCCCCGCCCGGGTGGAAGACTGGAGCGCTGAGGTGAGGTGGCGGAGTGAGAGGGGCAGAGGCGGCGCCGCTACCAGGCGCGTTCGCCACCGCCCGGGTGGAATACTGGAGAGGTGAGGTGGCAGAGTGAGAGGGGTCGAGGCGCTGCCGCTGCCTGGCGTTGCCCGGCGCGCTCGTCCCGCCCGGGTGGAATACTGGGCCGGTAAAGTGAGGCTGCGGTAAGAGGACAGGGGTGGCGCCGCTGCCCCCGGTGCGTTCGCCGCCGCCCGGGTGGAAGACTGGAGAGGTGAGGTGGCAGTGACAGGAGCAGAGGCGCCGCCGCTGCCAGGGGCGTTCGCCGCCGCCCGGGTGGAGAACTGGGCCGTTGAGATTGTGATCGTGAGCCGGGAGATGCTGATGTCAACTGACAGACATAAAATAGCGTTCTAGGATTCGAATTGCGGATGTTGGG